AGAAGACAAAAACAAATTTAAATGATAAACCTTCCAGGAATGTGTGTGGTAAGCCAGTAAAGGATTACTAAAAAGGGTATGGCAAAACCAAAACTTATTACTCAGTTTTGCAATCCCTCATTTCCATTTACTTATATGTAAAGTATTTGAAGCATGTTTGAGCAAGTATTTCAGTAGTACAACATGCCTACTGCAGTATTTAAAAGAAATCCAGTTTTCCTGAAAAATACTGTTAACTTTTTTTAAGAGAGAGAGAGAGAGAGAGAGCGCAGAGGAAAGAGGCCGAAGGAGTAGAGAATCCTAAGCAGACTCCACACTCAGTGCAGAGCCCAACATAGGACTTAATCCCACTACTTTGGAATCATGACCTGAGCTGAAAGCAAGAGCCAGATGTTCAACCAACTGAGCCACCCAGGTGCCCCTTGTTAGTTTTTTAAATATAGATCTTACCCACCTGGCAGAGAAATGTTTAAGGAGTTTAATGTGCACTTCAACTTGAAAAACAAATATATTTAATTAAAAACAGATAAGCCTATACATATTTCATCTGCATTCATTAATTAGTAGTCAGATATATTTCAGATAACATGTATGCTGGTTCTTCTGAAGTCCTCTTACAGCCTTCTATAAATTAATATATAGAAAAAAAAGATTTGATATGGAAACAAAACGTATATTTTTAATGGCTTTTTCTTTTTAATTTTCTCCATTATCTCTTAAATGTTAGTGTAGTTGAGGAGAAGCACAGTTATAAAATTTAACTTCATTGCTAGAAAAGATGTGGCATTTGGGTGTTTTTCAACCCCTTTACATTACAGATATTTAAAAAATACCCTTTAGTAAGTGCTCGGTGTTAGCAAAGCCAGGTTTTGAACTCACGCCTATAGACTTGCAATGTTGTATAAGTTTTTCTACATTATACTGCTTTTCCCCTCTGTTGGAATTGGTCAACTTCATTGGTATAGAAATTGAAACCCCTTGTCTTTGATCACATCCTGTTTACCTTCTATTTCTCTCTCTCTCTCTCTCTTTTTTTTTTTTGGAAAGAGAGCATGCGAGCGGGTATGTGGGGCAGAGTGAGAGAGAGAATCTTAAGCAGGCTCCATGCTTGGCACAGGGCTTGATCCCATGACTCTGGGATCATGAGCTGAGTCCAAATCCAGAGTTGACACTCAGCTGACCAAGCCACCCAGACACCCCTCTTATTTCTTTATACCTCCCCAAGATGCTACAAATTTGATTGCTCTTACTTTAAAATCCATGAACCCCTTATGACTTTGACTTCTTATCCTGCCTGGCCAATGTGGGCAAGGATCAATTATTTCAAAAACTACTTTCTTTATTAGTTGAATTAATAATTCTTTGGCTATGGATATATGCAAGTAATATAAAAGTTGTAAAGTTTCCTGAACTTAAATTTTTTATTCTTCCAGATTCTTCTTACCTCTTGATTTAACATAGTCTCTAACCCTAATCTTGGATCATTATATTTTTGCTTCAGAATAAAATCTTGAATCAGGTTAAGAGAATCTGGGACACATGTATGTTGCATAATTTTATCTAGGCTGTAACTCATCTTTTCATAAAATCTATGACTTTTATAAAAATGGTTGTTTTTTTTTTCAAATCCTTTACATTCTTTGTAGACTACCAAGTTGTTTTTCTCATTTAGATTCCCACTCTCAGTGTGTGGTCTTGTCTTTTGCTTGGCTTATTTTTGTCCTTGTAGTCACTTTCTGGCACAAGCTGCTTTCTGGGGTTCACAGGCTCCTTGAGGTCTTCTTTATATTGCTGAAGACATTTCAGCACTCTACACAACCTGTCATTTTTTTTAAGTTTATTTATATATTTTGAGAGACAGAGTGAGCACACTCATAAGTGGAGGAGGGGGAGAGAGAGAGAATTCCAAGCTGGCTCTTCACTGCCAGCATAGAGCCCAATGTGGGGCCCGAGCTCACGAACCGTGCGATCATGAGCTGAGCCAAAATCAAAAGTTGGTCCCTTAACAGACCAAGCCACCCAGGCACCCCAGTAACTATCTGTTTCATGCAGGTTGATGGATAAGATTTTTCCTAAGCCTCATTTCCAAGAAAAGTTGTCACTCTGAAGCAGCTGATTTGTTTTTAATCTATATATGCTATAAACATTTTGATAGGTCATGCTTCATGCTTTATTTTGTCCATTGAAAATTCAGAGCAATGTTTAACTGTCCACACTAACAAAATAACTTTACCCCTAGTTTCATCTTTTTATTTAAAGTTCTATTAACATCTTCTTCTCTGCCTTTTTTATCTACTGTTTGTTATGTTGGATCGTATGTGTTTATTTTGTTTTGAAAAGGTAATACATATATATACACACACACACACACACACACACATTTTAAGAAAATCCAATAGTACAGAAAGCACACCTCGAAAAGTAAAACTCAATGTAGAGGACAATCAGCGAAATGAAAAACTATTTGTTCTGAGGTTTCAGAAAAACTGTCAGAAGTCATTTTATTATAAGCTTGTTAGCAAGAAGATGAACTAGTAAATATTCATTTTAATCACTGGGAATTAGACTGATCTTGTTAAAGCTCCACACACAAACAGGTGTAGATGGCATTCTGATAAACTATTACTACTTTACAGTAATTGATAAAGTTTGATGAACCATCAACTTAACTCAGTGGCCATTGTTTTATAGCTTTGTGTAAATTACCTAAAAAATGTTTTAAATAAACTTAACTCCAGAGAAGATTTCCAGGCTTCAACAGAAAAAAAGGTAAACATTTATAGCATAAGCTAGTATCTCATCTTCTTTTCTTTGGATATTAAGAGGATAGAAACAAATAGATTAATATAGAGAAAGATGCATCCAATCCTTTTTGTGTTTTCTTAACAAATCTAGCTCATATAATTTACAGTACAGTATAACCACAACAATAAAAGGTCTTATTAAGTCACATTATGGAGGAGGGAGGTAATCAATTTGTCCTTTAGTTATAATAAAAAATTTTTGAATGCCTGCTAAAGGCCAGGCTCTGTACTTATTAAATATTGGCCACCTATTAAGTGTCAGTTACTTTGCTAGGAACTGGTAAACAAAACAAACCTGCTACTTGCCCTCATTTAATCTGCACATTAACTCTACACAAGAGGTATGTTATGGCTGAGAAAATTTGAGGCTCAGAGAGGTTAACTAGATTGTTCAGAGTTACACAGTCATTAAATGGTGGAGCTAGGATTTGAGTATAGGTCTCTTATTCCATAGTCTGTGTTCTCCCACAGTGTTATAATACAAGTGCGCCAGAGGGGCAAGGGAGTGCAAACACATACACAGTTATAGAAAGGCATGGAACCCAGTAACTTGCATTGCCTAGCTGAGCCTGCTGTTTTATCTGGCTTAGATAATCTTGTTTCGATGAGTGGTGCAGCCTCCTCACTGGCCGCCCTGTAGTCTATTCAAAACATAGCAGCCAGTGTGACCCTCCTAATATTAGAACCCTATCATGTCACTCCTCTGTACAGAAAGCTCCAGTGGAGGTTCCCCACCCTGTACCCCCATTCCTCCTGCCTCCATACCTTGAAGTAAACTCAGCCATTGCTGTTAGTTTGGTGTATATCCTTTCAACTTTGGGTATTGGTTTATAACCTTTTTATTTAAACAAAAATAGGATCAACTATACATATTCTACATATTCTGCAAATTGCCTTTTCTCTTATATTTACAATCAAATAGCCTGTGTTCTTTTTTTTCTTTGTTTATTTATTCTGAGAGAGAGAGAGAGAGCACAAGTGGGGGAAGGCAGAGAGAAGGAGATAGAATCCCAAGCAGGCTTTGCGCTGTCAGCACAGAGCCCAACATGGGGCTCTAACTCATGAAATCATGAGATTATGATGTGAGACAAAACTAAGAGTCTGACACTTAACTGACTGAGCCCCCCAAGCACCCCAGATAGCCAGTTACAAAGCAGAAGGAGGAAAGTTTTCTGTTTTATTGGTTCCAAACTACATAACTATTTTATCATGCTGCTATATAATTGTTAATTTTATCTTCATAAAACAAATAACATCTTTTAAACAATTATTTTTGTATCTATGACATGAAATAACTCATTTTAAAAATTACTGTTGCCCTAAGAGTGTAATATTTGTTATGCAGTAAGATTTTTCCCCAGAGCAAACTCTTTAACTATGCATGACTTGACATAGATATTGAATTATAAGTAATTATTATAATTTCTTTTTTTTTTTATATTTTTTTATTTATTTCTAGGAGAAAGAGAGAGAGAGAGAGACACAGCGTGAGCAGGGGAGGGTCAGAGAGAGAGGGAGACACAGAATCTGAAACAGGCTCCAGGCTCCGAGCTAGCCGCCAGCACAGAGCCGGACGCAGGGCCAGAACCCACGAACCACGAGACCACAACCCAAGCAAAAGTCGGACGCTCAACCGACTAAGCCACCCAGGCGCCCCTATAATTTCTTAATAAAATTTTTTTAATGTTTATTTTTGAGAGAGAGAGACAGAGCACTAGTGGGGGAGGGGCAGAGAGAGGGAGACACAGAATCCAAAACATGTTGCAGGCTCTGAGCTGTCAGCCCAGAGCCCAATGTGGGGCTCAAACTCATGAACCATAGATCATGATCTGTGCCAAAGTCGGACACTTAACTGACTGAGCCAACCAGACACCCTGGGAATTACTACAATTTCTCTTAACCGTAGTTAAACTTTCAGTTGAGCAGTTTCAACTGCTTTTGCCTCTACTAATTGGTAGAGATATTAAGGGGATGTAAAATAAAATGTTGGAGAACAGAGTGCCAATAATGGAGCCAGAGGACTTGGCTCTACACGATCAAGGCTAATGAGTTCATTTGATAAATGCGATGTGCCATTGTAGTTAAAGACTGCAGACTATGGCCTCAAATTTGCTTTTGATGAAAAACAGGATTTCATCTACTTCCTTGTTTCAGTTTTATATTAAATAGGTGAAAACCTTTTTATTTTAATTGCAGTCTCGAGTTATAGCTGTACTGGATTGGGAGCTTTCAACCATTGGTCATCCTTTGTCAGACTTAGCTCATCTCTCCATATTCTTCTTTTGGCCAAGGACAGTTCCAATGATAAATCAAAGTTCTTATTTTCAAGAAAACATAGGTATGAAATCATCATGTTGCCTAAATTGCTATTAATATGAAATATTTTTCATAATTAAAAGGTAAGATTATATAGCAATTTTAGGTAAGTATTAATTTGTTTCTTGAAACGTTTCTAAATCATTTCGTTCTTGATTTTTCTGAACATAGCATTTCACTTTTAGTAATTTATGATAAAATATAACCCTTTATATACATCATTCATTTTAGAAATCAACATTCAGAACTTGTTATTTGGATTAATGGTTACTCTATTCAGTTTTGTATACATATGCAATAGTATTAAAGTTTGAAATATTCACCATAATATCCTCTATTAAATTTTATAATATGTGCTATTTTTATAGGGATACCATCAATGGAAGAAATTATTTCAATATATTGCCGCCACAGAGGAATTAATTCTGTTCTTCCTAACTGGAATTTCTTTATTGCCCTGGCCTATTTTAAAATGGCAGGTATAGCACAGGTAATTAATTGTTTTTAGCCTATGTTTCACTTTTATTAATGTAATGTTCACAATATTTTCTGGTCTTCAGGAGTTGTATATTCTTTGTCCTTAGATCATTTTGCTTTTGATAATGACAAATACCAGATATGATTGAATATGAATCCAAAATTTACAGAATAGGAACTTGGCAAGGGAAAAAATTGAGTAGCAAAATGTGTTATCATTTTAGGGGGAGGGGAGAAAGACATAAAGGGAAAAAGAGAAAACCGTGTGACAATTGGTTATTTCCTGAATATCTAGTTTAAGAAAGAGCTAAAATCTTTTAATGATGTTTGCTTCAAAGTATAAAACCATTTATTAACAGGGACTATGATAAGGAAAGAAATAATTTTGCACGTCCCAAAGCCTAACACAGTACCTAGAATATAGTAGCCTCTTAATATACATTTTTGAGAGAATATATGATTAAAATTTTCCATTTTCTAACAAGGTCTTATTTATGTGATTAATTTTGAAAGGAAATTGAGCATAAACTTTTTTTTAAATTCTGGCTTCATCTAAAATATATTCTTCTTTACACTGATTTAGTTTCTATATGCTTTGAATCTCAGGAGTTTATTTAAGTAATTGAGATGCTTCATCAGTGACAAAGGGCTAGGGCTTGGTGGAGTATATAATTAAGAGATTTCAGGAACAAAAAAGAATGGGAAAAGAAGAATAAAGGTTTTTTTTCTCCTTGTCTCCAGAGTCCATGTTATCCATGAACAACTGAAATGTCTTTTAGGATATAGTTGTATTACACTTAATCCTGTGTTTTAGAATCATGTTAATCATATTGGATGGGTTTCTCAAAATAGGGGTTATGGTATGTTTTTTATATTTATTAGCTTCGAAAAAGGGCCTTGATTTTAAAATGGATTTTCATTTCAAGCAAAAATTTGAATGGGTTATGTTGAAATTAATATGTATGTCATATACTATATGTGACAATCTTAGAGATGATCATAAACATTCCATTCTAACTATAAGTATGAAATTGGAAATGATGGAAAAACTGTTAGAGGGTATTATTGCTTATAGAATTACATGAAGAAATAAAACTAAGGAAATTCAGTTTATTGTATTTGGGTGGAAGGAACAGGGGAGAGGAGAGTGTGCTTTGTTGAAAGCATAGAATATAGAGAAGAAGGGCACCTGGGTGGCTTAGTCGGTTAAGCTTCCCACACTTGGTTTCAGTTCAGGTCATGATCTCCTGGTTCCTGAGTTCGAGCTCTGCTTTGGGCTCTGCATTCACAGTGAGGAGCCTGCTTGGGATTCATTCATTCATATTCTCTCTCTCTCTCTCTCTCTCTCTCTGCCTCTCCCCTCCATGTGTTCTCTCTCTCAAAATAAATAAAATTTTAAAAAAAAGAACATGGGAAAGAAATAAAAACTAACATTCAACTAACACTGGTCAAGGAGACCGTTAACTAATCTAGAGTCAAAAAAAGGAAGGAAAATATTCTTTTTTCTTTTTAAATTTTTTTTAATGTTTTATTTATTTCTAGGAGAGAGAGAGAGAGACAGCGTGAGCAGGGGAGGGTCAGAGAGAGAGGGAGTCACAGACTGAAACAGGCTCCAGGCTCTGAGCTGGCAGTCAGCACAGAGCCCGACGCGGGGCTCGAACCCACAAACTGCGAGATCATGACCTAAGCGAAAGTCGGACGCTTAACCGACTAAGCCACCCAGGTGCCCCGAAGGAAAATATTCTTAGAGATCATGTCATTGCCTTCTCTTTACAGTTTTATAGGTTTGGTTTTTTTTTACTTTATTTTGGTTTCTGTAGATTTTCCTCCCGTGTGAAGGGAAAACAGTGATCTTACAGAGGTGATATAATTTGACAGTTTGGTATCTTTGTTAACTTCTAAACTCATTTTCAAGTTTGATTTGATTTTCAGTTACAGTTGTTAGGATAAGAGTGTGTCAACCAAATTATGCTTGTATACTCTCTAAGGAGGTATAATTATCCCTGCATATAAATAAATAGAATTGATGATCGGATTTACATCTTGATACCTGTGAGTTTAGGGACTCATATAGTAGAAAGACTGGATAGCTGAAGAACAGTTTTCAATGAATCTTAACTGCTCTATGTTAATTTATTTATAGGGTGTATATAGTAGATACATTCAGGGAAATAATGCATCTGAGAATAGCTTTCTGTTTGCCAAGATTGTGCAACCTCTGGCAGAAACTGGATTACAGCTCTCAAAACGGTAAGCAAAATGAATTCCTTGGATAACTCAAATTAGAGCCTTTATTAGATATATGAAAATTGCAAACTTTCGGATAGGGACCATTTTTATATTGCTTACACCAGGATTGCTGCTACCAATCACAGCAATTTTTTTGGTAAATCTCTTATATGCCTGAAAATAAAATGACTTCAAATATAAAATTACATTTGGGGCGCCTGGGTGGCTTAGTCGGTTGAGCGTCCGACTTTCGCTTAGGTCATGATCTCGCGGTTCGTAGGTTCGAGCCCCGCGTCGGGCTCTGTGCTGACTGCCAGCTCAGAGCCTGGAGCCTGTTTCAGTCTGTGCCTCCCTCTCTCTCTGACCCTCTCCTGCTCACGCTGTCTCTCTCTCTCTCTCCTAGAAATAAATAAAACATTTAAAAATNTCTCTCTCTCTCTCTCCTAGAAATAAATAAAACATTTAAAAATATATATATATAAAATTACATTTTATAGAGACACCTAGGTGGCTCAGTCAGTTGAGCATCCAACTCTTGATTTTGGTTCAGGTCATGATCCCAGGGTCATGGGATCCAGCTCTGTGTGGGGCTCTACACTGGGTGTGGAGCCTGTTTAGGATTCTTCCCCTCTCTCCCACTCACACATTCTCTCTGAAAAATAAAATAAAGTAACATACTGTAAAAGATAATTTATTAACTTTAGCAGTATTGCTCTCTTCTATCATATTTTATGAAATTTTATTCAGTCACTTCATAAGTGTCTTTGAAATCCATATCTCCATCAGTGGAGCACTTTTCAAGGCATCTAATTCACTTGCCAACCACACACTCCCATCTAAGTGGTGTGATCCATAGCACTTACTGAGTGCATGGATGATGCTGTCCCTGGAAACTTGTGTCCAAGCCGTAAGTTCCCATGGCATAACATTAGGACAGTTAGGTCTTACAGTGCATTTATAGATGGATATGTGTGATCTCCTCAATGTAACAACTGACTGTGTTGCTCTTCATAAAGATTTTTAAAGGCCTTGTTTATAATGATAGCCAGCAGTATTTGTGAGGAATATACTAAGAATAATTACTAAATTTGCATTTAATTTCTTCTCTTCCTTTTTTTTAGAGATTGTGATTACTGACTTTAATAAAGATTCAAAACTGCTACTGATGGAGGTCAGGCCAGGCTTATGTTTTACCCAAGTAGTGCTTTCAGCATTAAAGTTTAACGTTCAAAGTAAAGAGCTTCTGCATTCACTCCATAATATGAAAAACTTAAGAAATTCCAAAATATAGCTACTCCTGAGGGATATTTTAGGAGAGTTGGAGAAGTCTTCACATTATATACAGAAGTATAGAATAATGATTTGGACACCTTTGTAACTTTTTTTTGTTTTTTGTAATAAAGGACTTTTGGTACTACACCATCACAGATTGATACTTCTCAGCAGTTGTTTGGACAGAGTAAGACAGGCCAGGAAGTTCTTACTAGGGTGAAGCATTTCATGAAACAACACATCCTCCCATCTGAAAAGGTAAGTACCGTACAAACAAGCAGAATGTATTTGTGTTCAAGGACTGTTGATGAATGACATCTGTTATCTCTGCTTCTAGGAGTACCATGGTATCCTAAACTGTCCTTAACTCATTCCACTCTTCACCTTAGCACTGAGCTACTGCAGAAGCTGATAAGCTTCTAAAATATGCCAAGGGAATGCCACAGATAAATTGTTGGAATTAAAATTTAGTCAAAGGTAATTAACTGTTGTAAAGTTGAGATCCTAAATACATTAAGAGTAAAATATTACTTTAAGGCCTTTTCTGAGTCAGTGACTTTCAGCTTTTTTTTTTCTTTACTGACTCTTTTGAGAATTAAGAAAACTGTAGAGTAAATAAGATGGTCATAACCAGAAAATTTTGCATATCATTTCAGTCTTTTCACAGATAACACTACCTCTCTCCTCATAAGCTGCTATTTTAAGGTGTTAAGTAAATAACACTCAATAAATAACTCCGTAAGTTCACTGAGAGTAGAGAAGTAATATGGTACATTCATTCATTTAGTTAACATGTAATTATCAGGTACCCTAAGAATGGGTTAGGCATCTGGAGAGCCATTGAAAGTAAGAGAAAGAAAAAGACAGAGATAATGCTTCCACAGAGCTTACCCTTTAGCACAAAAGAAATACATTAAATAAGGATGATAAATGTTGTGAGGAAAAGATTAAAGCTGTTATGAAGATACATAAGGCTGGTGGGGCCAAGTATGTGTGTGAGTTGAACACTGGTATAGAAATTATAATGGTTTGATTCTAGTCCATTCCTTTTATAGGTTAGATGGTCATGGGCAAATAACTTTAATTCTCAGTGCTTTGATCTTTTCACCTGTGATGTGAATAGATACGAGTAGATATACAATAAATTCTTATTTTAATTTTCCATGATTCTGAGAAGTCTAGAGTTGGACTGACAAAATCAAACAGAAAACTGAAAAAGACCAAAATTCTTTCAATAAAAATATTCAGAATTGATATGTGTTTATAAGGCAGTTACTATTGTTGTTTGACTTACATAAATAATTCCCATATTTTTAGTAAAGATCTGGCATGAGTTGAATTTTGCTGACCAAGTGGAGTATAGTTTTTCCTTGTTATTGTTAAGAAAATACTACTTAAATATGAGGAAGTTCTTTCTAAAATAGTCTCCTCTTACATGCGTTCAGTGATTAAGATATCACTTTGGAACTTTATAATCTAATTAGTACATATACAACTTTGAGTTTTAAAATTCTTAACTTTTGGGTGTTAAAAAGGAAATGCAACACTTTTGTTTCAAAATGGCAGCCCTGAATTCAGCATTTATCTCCTTTCCCTCAAAATCCCATTAACGATAAAGAAATTTGTAAGAAAAATAGCATGAATTGCTGAAAGCACAAAAACAGAAATAGGACAGACATACCAGAGGACTAACGGTTTTGAAAAGAGAATGGAAATTGGATTTGGAAAGCAGAATGAATCATACCAAAGAATAACCCTTAACAGTGAAAGCTACATCTCCAAAGCATCTGAAATAAGAGAAGGCCGTAGCACCCGCAGTAACCTTTTTTTTTTTTTTAATTTACAAAAAAAATTGATTGGCTGGTATGAAGAGCAAGAGTGAGAAGAGAAAGAAATCAAGCCCTTTATCTGATATGTCATTTGCAGCTATCTTTTCCATTCTGTTGGTTGCCTATTAGTTTTGTTGATTGTTGCCTTTGCCGTGCAGAAGCAAGCGTGAGAAGAGAAAGAAATCAAGATGTTTGACTAATTAACCTGCATGTGGGGCATGGGGTTAGTTCTCTAACACTCCTGCATAGCAGTGGCCTTTGCTCCAAAGGGAAGGCTATAAGAGTACTCTAAAAAAGCAAATGATCAACTTAGACTTATCATGATGATCATTTCATAACGTGTATAAATGTCAGATCACTATATTGTACATCAGAAGCTAATATTGTGTGCTATATTCCAATTTTTTTAAAAAGACCAAAAAAAATGAGAAAATTGAAGCCCAGAGAAAATCAGCAAGTTGCCTAAGTCAAAGAGAGAAGGAAGCCAATGCAGAACAGTGTGGAAATCCTGGGTATTAAGAGTTATAGGATGGGTTCTTATTCAGACTTTGCCTAAATTCTACCTTGAGCAAAATACGTCCTTCAAACATTCAACAAACATGAGCAGCTCTATGTACTGGTCACTGTGCTAGATGGTAGGGACATATGATATTAAATCTTCTTAAGCAGGACAATATTAAGTAAGGAAGACAAGTTGATACCTTCACAGTCAAATGCGAGAGGAATACAATGAATCAACAGTAACAACACTAGTTAATATGCATTAAGAACTTAACTCCTCTACCAGTTACTGTACCAAGAACTTGAGGTATACTAACTCATGTCATGCTTGCTGAGGGGGTACAATTATTATTCTGGCTTGAAAATGAATCAGAGAACATTTAAGCTATGGGTAGTAAACTTAGAACTTGAAAGAAAGAAAAGAAAGAAAAAAAGGAAAGAAGGAGGGAGGGAAAATGAGGGAGGGAAGGAAGTTAAGGAAGGAAGAAAAGGAAAGAAAGAAAAGAAAAAGGGATGGAGGAAGGGGGTGGGGAGAAGGAGGAAGAAAGGAGAGGAGGGAGGGAAGGAAGTAAGGAGGAAAGACAGGACAAACTAAAAAGAAAGAAAGAAAGACAAACTAAGAAGAAAGAAAAGGGAAAAAACAGCAAATTATCTGTTTCAAAGAAGCCAGGGCTTCAACATGAAGGTCAGTGCTCTTGAGTCCTCCATTTTAGGCCTTTATCTCTTTTTTTAGTGGGGGTTTGGTGTAGACCCCCAGCTTGCCCATCAGTCTGCCTGACTCCTGCCCACTCACCCTGAAGTGAAGCATATTGTTGACATGCTTGTGCTTGGAAACAGCTGATTATTCAAAAGAGAGGCCAGAATTGGCAGAAGAAACCAAGTAGCCTTGCTCTTTGATTTATGGATGTGAATGGGAAAAGAAGTAACACAAATTGGTTTGTGATACAACTGCTGAACTTAATAGCATGCAGCTATGAAAATATTTACAGAGTTTTCAATGTAGAAGAAAATGTTTAAGTAAAAAGCAGTTTATAGCTTTAAAGGGAAGATTAGCAGTATTTTGTGTGGCAAGGAATGCCACAGTCATTTTATTGTTGCTGATTTTTCATATGTTGCTATATTTTCATAAAATATATCCACGCATAATAATGTGAACTTTTTCTTCCATTAAAAATCTTAAACTGGGATGCCTGGCTGGCACAATCAGTGGAGCATGCAGCTCTTGATTTTGGAGTTGTGGATTCGAGTCCCACGTTGGGTGTAGAGATTACTTAAAAGTAAAATCTTTGAAAAAAATCTTAAACCAATATCTGTAAAAATGTTTTGTCCTGTAGAATGATTCTGAACAATACTAATCCCTGTCTGTGAACATCTACATTTGAAATGATATCAGGAGAAAAGTAATTAGCTTTCTCAAAATGGGAGGGGAAGGTCTGTAAACTTCTATCCAATATTATTATAACTAAGTTTATAAAAATTAAAAGTCATATCTAGAAAATATGATTCTGTCACACAATACACCAGTTTTTTAGCAGTACATCTCTTTAGTAAGACTTGTAATGACTTTTTCTTAATACTTTTACATACTTTCCCAAATTTTTATAATGGGAAAAAATAAACTTCATTTAAACTATTCAAATGACCATTGAAATTCCTTGGATATCTTAAAGTGAGAACATCAGAACCCATTATTTATGAAAATGTTAAAAGGCAATTCTTCCTATTTAAAATGGGCAAGGAGTCCTAAAAAATAGCATGTAAAGCAGGAACTAGCAACGGGTTCTTCAGAACACACTTCTAACGTAATGATAACATTAGTCATGTTTTTCCTACTCAGCGTAATAATGTACTAGTAAAGAGCTATCATTGTTTCTTTCTAATAGACTTAAGTTTAAAATGAAAAACATATAGCAAAATTATTTGTACGCTCAGATTTAAGATTTTCAGCCAGCATACTTTAAAGCCATATCTCAGTCAGTGAATGAGGAAGTTAGATGTTAAAGGTGCTATTTGGGGAGAATTGATCAGGCACCAACCTTATTTTTTGCTTTCTTCTTTCACCAACAAACTTTTTCATACTCTAAGAACTAAAGAGAACTTCTTTGTGATAAGATATTTTAATTCTGACTCCTGTGATACCACAGATAGACTTTGCAGATCTCTTGAATGGATAAACTTTAGAACAAGGAATTTCTTTTCTTTTTTAATTTTTTAAAATGTTTATTTATTTTTGAGACAGAGAGAGACAGAGTGTGAGCAAGGGAAGGGCAGAGAGAGAGGGAGACACAGAATCTGAACCAGGCTTCAGGCTCTGAGCTGTCAGCACAGAACCCAATGAGGGACTGGAACCCAGGAACTGCGAGATCATGACCTGAGCTGAAGTCGGACCCTCAACCGACTGAGCCACCCAGGCACCCCTAGAACAGGAACTTATAAATCACACAAGTTTTTAATAATAATATAAACATTGGCATATTTTAACTTCTCAGAACTTTAGGATCATAAAGAGGTAGTCAGAGATGAGGAATTTGTAAATGTATTGCATAATATATTTCTTATCAGACACAGTAACATTGACTATTTCCACATTAATAAGAGGGATGGAAATAATAAACAACCCTAAACAGGAAATCTCCAATTAAACTGACTTCCTACACAAATGACAAATGCTGTTTATCCTAGTGGCTTTGAAAGAGCTGTCCTTTTGTTGATTGTTGATTGTGGAGTTTGGTGAGTTTCTTACAGATTTTGGATACTAGCCCTTTATCTGATATGTCATTTGACGCTATCTTTTCCCATTCTGTTGGTTGCCTATTAGTTTTGTTGATTGTTTCCTTTGCCGTGCAGAAGCTTTTTATCTTGATGAGGTCCCAATAGTTCATTTTTGCTTTTGATTCCCTTGCTTTTGGAGATGTGTCGAGTAAGAAGTTGCTGCAACTGAGGTCAAGGAAGTTGTTTCCTGCTTTCTCCTCTAGGATTTTAATGGTTTCCTGTCTCACATTTAGGCCCTTCATCAATTTTGAGTTTATTTTTGTGTATGGTGTAAGAAAGTGGTCTAGTTTCATTCCTCTGCATGTTGCTGTCCAGTTCGCCCAGCACCATCTGTTAGAGAGGCTATCTTTTTTCCATTGGATACTCTTTCCTGCTTTGTCAAAGATTAACTGGCCATACACTTGTGGGTCCAATTTTGAGTTGTCTATTCCATTGGTCTATGTGCCTCTTTTTGTGCCAATACCATACTGTCTTGATGATGACAGCTTTGTAGTAGAGGCTAAAGTCTGGGATTGTGATGCCTCCCATTTTGGTTTTCTTCTTCAATATTACTTTGGCTATTCGAGGTCTTTTGTGGTTCCATACAAATTTTAGGATTGTTTGTTCTAGCTTTGAGAAGAATGCTGGTGCAATTTTGATTGGTATTGCACTGAATGTGTAGATTGCTTTGGGTAGTATTGACATATTAAAAATATTTATTATACAAAACCATGAGCATAGAATAATTTTCCATTTCTTTGTGTCATCTTAAATTTCATTCAAAAATTTTCTATAGTTTTCATCATACAGATCTCTTATATCTTTGGTTAGGTTTATTCCTAGGTATTTTATGGTTTTTTGTGCAATCGTGAATGGGATCAGTTTCTTGATTTCTTTTTCTGTTGCTTCATTATTGGTGTATAAAAATGTAACCAATTTCTGTACATTGATTTTGTACCCTGCAACTTTGCTGAATTCATGGATCAGCTCTAGTAGGCTTCTGGTGGAGTCTGTCGAGTTTTCTATGTAGAGTATGCTGTTGTCTGCGAAAAGTGAAAGTTTGACTTCTTTGCCAATTTTGATGCCTTTTATTTCATTTTGTTATCTGATTGCTGATGCTCAGACTTAACCAATGGAATGGGAAAAGATAGTTGCAAATGACATATCAGATAAAGGGCTAGTATCCAAAATCTATAAGGAACTCACCAAATGCCACACCAAAAATCAAATAATCCAGTAAAGAAATGGGCAAAAGACATGAACAGACACTTCTCTAAAGAGGACATCCAGATGGCCAATAGATACATGAAACGACGCTCAGCATCCCTCCTCATCAGGGAAATACACATCAAAACCACACTGAGATACTACCTCACACCAGTCAGAGTGGCTAAAATGAACTATCAGGAGACTATAGATGCTGGTGAGGATGTGGAGAAACAGGCACCCTCCCACACTATTGGTGGGAATGTAAACCGGTGCAGCCACTCTGGGAAACAGTGTGGAGGTTCCTCAAAAAATTAACAATAGCACTCCCCTATGACCCAGCAATAGCACTGCTAGGAATTTATCCAACGGATACAGGAGTGCTGATGCATAGAGGCACATGTACCCCAATGTTCATAGCAACACTTTCAACAATAGCCAAAACATGGAAAGAGCTTAAGTGTCCATCAGCTGACAAATGGATCAAGAAGATGTGGTTTATCTATACAATGGAATACTATATGGCAATGAGAAAGAATGAAATCTGGCCATGTGTAGCAACGTGGATGGAACTTGAGGGTATTATGCTAAGTGATATAAATCAGGGAGAGAAGGACAGATACCATATTTTTTCATTCATATGTGGAATAGGAGAAACTTAACAGAGGACCAGGGGGGAGGGGAAGAGAAAAAATAGTTAAGGAGAGGGAGGGAGGCAAACCATGAGAGACTCTTAAATACTGATAACCAACTGAGGGTTGATGGAGGTGAGGGGAGAAGGGAAGGGGGGTGATGGGCATGGAGGAGGGCACTTGTTGGGATGAGCACTGGGTTTTATATGGAAACCAACTTGATAAAAAAAACTACAAAAAATAAAAAATAAAAAAATGCTCTTTCCTCACAGAGAATAAGAGCAAAACTGAAAACAAATTGAGGGTTGATAGAAGGTGGGGGAGAGGGGAAAATGAGTGATGGGCATGGAGGAGGGCACTTGTGATGAGCACTAAGTGTTATATAGAAACCAACTTGACAATAAACTATAATAAAAAAATTAAACAAGAAAGATCTGTCCTTTGTCGTCTTGAAGTTTTCAGTAAATACATCAATAGCCTAGACTGCTGTGCTTTAATAAAAAGAATATTTCTGTATTCTTATATGACTGTAAAGTGGTAGAGCAATTTTAGAAAATAATTTTGTAATGTGGACTTGTGACAATATTCATAGCCTTTAATCTAGTAATTGTACTAGTCTAAGTGTAAAAAAAGTAAGTACAGAGATGCAATTATAGCAAAATATTGGAGAATGCCGTCATAGTCCATATTTTAGTTCATCTTGATTCTTTTGGTTGCACAAATTAGAGATTATTGTTACTGTTTTTTTGTAGCTAGTTTATTTTGTTTTTAAGTTTACTTATTTATTTTAAAAGAGACAGAGACAGTGTGAGCAGGAGAGGGGCAGAGAGAGAGGGAAACAGAATCCCAAGCAGGGCCTGCAGCACCATCAGCACAGAGCCTGACATGAGGCTCAAACCCAGGAAGCGACTTGACCATGACCTGAGCTGAAACCAGGGTTCAGACGCTTAAGCAACTGAGCCACCCAGGTGCCCCCATATGTAGCTAGCTTTTTATTTAGATTTATCCATGTATTTATCACTTTATTTATGTTAGTTCCTGCAACTCAGATGTTTCTTTAAGGATCAACTTTCTTTAATGAGAATCTGCTAGTAACCTTTTATTTGATTTTTCTTTTTTTCCTTCTCTTTTTCTTTCTTTCTTTTCTTTTTTTGCTCAAGAAAGGGAAGTAATGATTCAGATTCTGATTCATAGTCTGTCTGTTTCTTTATTTCTAATGTATTTATTTTGCCCTAATTCTTGAAAGATTGTTTTATTAGATAGAGAATTCTAGGTTCACAGTTACTTTCTCTCAGCAACTGAAGATGTTATCCTACTGACTTCTGGCTTTATTTGTTGCTCTGGGAAGTCATTTCTCAGTCTTGTTTAATTATCAGTGGTCTGTCCTCCCCAAACTCTTCCTCCTTTATTTAAGAGCTTTTATTTCTCTTTGATGTTGTACAGTTTGAGCTTTGGCTTTTTTTTCCCACCTGAATTTGAGGATTGGTGTCTTTCACCAGTTCCGAAAACTCAGATACAGTTTTTTTCAGTATTCCATCTCGTCATACTCTTCATCTAGGGCCCCATTTAGACTGATGTGAGAACATTTCTCTATTTCCATTGTATCTATTAATCATTCATATTTTCCTCCTATTGAATTTCTGTGCCTCATTCAAGAAAGGAGTAATTTCTTCATATTTTTCTTCCAAGTTATGTTTTTCAGCTATATCTAATCTACTTTTCAACAGAACAGTGGTTCTCAAAAGTTAGAGTGTGTCAGAATTGCCAAAGCTAGTAAAGCTAGTGAAGAATACAGAAGCCCTAGGCTCATTGAAGTAAAATAGTCATGGATTCTTGTCTTTTCACCAAGTGCCCCGAGTGCTTCTTGTCATACTTTTAATTCCTTCCTTTATTCTTGAAATCTATTGGACACAAATACTTTATATTCTGTATCTGAGCATTAGTTTATCTGTAGTCTTTGGGGAGTGTGAGTCTTGTTACACTATTGGTTTTGCTAATTCTTGCTAATAATGGCTTGAAACAAGTACTTTAGAAACACTTGAAGACTCAGGCTTTTTTATTTCTGATCTCTGAGCAATTTCCTTATTTTTCTTCAGCACAGCTATTCATTACTACATGTATTTTTAAAATTACTTTAAATAAATTCTCTGGCATTTTTAGTTGTTCTGCTTTAAGAGGGATTCCTGTGACCATCCAGTGTGCTGTGTTGCTAAAAATGGAACATTCAGATCTTAAGCACAAAATTTTTGAAGGCTGTCCTCTAATATTGAGGCAGCATAATTTTGTGAACAGCAAACCTCTAGAATTCTTTATACTCATGTATCTGGCTTCAGAAAGAAATATTACTGATTAAATAGCAGCTTGAAAAACCTCTTCATATGATTACTTTGGATATTAGCAATCTATGGCATTATTTACTTTGTATTAACTTTAGCTAATGAACTTTTTTCTTATTATTACTTTAAGGAGGTAATTGAGTTCTGTGTTCAAAATGAAAATTCAGTGGACAGATGGAAAAAACCTTTAGTGATTGATAAACTCAAGGTAAGAAAAACAAAATGTTTAATGATAGAAATTTTATATGCAGGTGACTTTTTTAATGCAGGTGTGTTTTTAGAGAGCTCAGTTATTATCTGTTGTTGTTATATATGTAGTGACTAAATACATCAGTAATTTTTTAAAAAGAAAATATAGAATATGTAGTATACGGATTAGGCTACATAGGGTTTTGTGTATGATATATGATGAAGGCAGCCTCTTAGAGCTGTTCAAAAAAAAATATGATGAACACCATTCACTACCATCTGTCACTAAATTGAGACAGAAGTCAAGCAGGACATTTGTCCCACCTGGGCTCAATCTAAATTTGATGTTTTTAATTCCTAACTGCAACACATGTAAGAAACTGAAATGTGCAAAATATTATGTTTGACATAATTATGCTCAAACGTGGAAGATTCTGTAAGAATTCTGTAAGATTCTATAATCATATTTCTATGATTCCATAAGAAGTACCCAAGAAAACAAATTTAGTTTTTCAGCCAAATCTAAGGAAACTTGGAGGAAAAGGCATTTCTTTAATGCCTTTTGATTGTTGATTTGTAGTGAATTAATAACTATCTGGTTTCACACACTGTAGGATAAATGAAATAAGTAACTTCATGTGTGTTTTTAAATTTCAAAAAATATAAATAGCAATATCTTTTAAAAATAAACTATTTTAGTTCACGGTAATTTATGATCACATTGGCATATCTATCACCTTGACAGGAAATGGCCAAAGCAGAAGGCCTCTGGAACTTGTTTCTGCCAGCTGTAAGCGGTCTCAACCAGGTGGACTATGCCTTGATTGCTGAAGAAACCGGAAAATGCTTTTTTGCTCCAGATGTCTTTAACTGCCAAGCACCAGGTTACTACATTATTTAAACATAAAACTTTCTCAGATATTTTGAGTAGTGTTTGAAATTTCTCTATTTTATGACAAGAAAGTTTTCTCCACAAAATTATGGATTTGTCTGTAGTTTTACTTTTCGCAGTCTTACTGTAAGTTTTTCACTTCATTTAAATATTAAAAGATGGATCTGATAGTCTCATTAGGTTATTCTTTTGTTAAACATGATTACATTAAGAGTATTAGTGAATAGAGATCACCACCAAAGGGATTGCCAACGTAAGGATTGTTGTTTCATGATTGAGTATTGGATATTTCTATGGCTAGTTGGAATGGATAGAGAGTTTCAGATCTTTTGGTTAGCTGGTCTTTCTATTTATTCACTAATTATTTAGTGTTCTAGATCCTTGGAATTTATCAAGGAATAAAATACATAAAAATTTCTGCCCACCTGGAGCTAATATCTTAATGGAGGGAAACAAAAATAAATAATAAATATAGGGGCACTTGGTAGTTCAGTCAGTTACGCATCTGACTCTTGATTTTGGTTCAGGTCGTGATCTCCTGGTTTATAGGATCAAGCCCTGTCAGGGTCTGAGCTGAGAGCATGGAGCCTGCTTGGGATTCTCTCTCTCTCCTCTCTTTTTGCCCCTCCCCTGCATATTCTCTCATTCTCTCTCTTTCTCTCTCAAAATAAATAAACATTTGAAAATAATAATAATAGGGGCGGCTGGGTGGCTCAGACAGTTAAGCATCTGCCCAGCTCAGGTCATGATCTCGCAGTTTGTGAGTTTGAGCCCCAAGTTGAGCTCTGTACTGACAGCTCAGAGCCTGGGGTGTGCATCTCCAGGGATTCTGTGTCTGCCTCTCTCTCTCAGTTCTTCCCCCACTCGCACTCTGTGTGTCTCCTCTCAAAAATAAGTAAACATTAAAAAAATAATAATAATAAATTATGTAGTAAGTTTGAAGATGAAAAGTGCTTTGGGAATAAAAAAATAGCAGCATAGGGGAGTGCTGGAATGCTAGGGAAAAAGAAATGCAGATTACAGTTTAACATGGTTAGGCCTTTCTGAGAAAATGACATTCGATAAAGACTTAAAGAAGGTAAGAGATTTAGCCATGCTGATATCTGGGGGAAGAATTTTCATAGCAGAAAAAACAGAAAAGGCAGAGACCTTAAGGCAAGAGTGTGATTGGTATATTCCAAGAATAGCCAAGGAAGCCAGTGTAGTAGGGAGAATATTAAGAGAAGATAGTAGAGAGGAAAGGGCCTTAAGGGCAGGTAAGGGCTTCTACCTTCTGTGAAATGGAAAGCCATGGGAGATTTGAGCAGAAGAATGACAAGATCAGTTTTAAAAGAATCACTTTGACTACTATGTTGAGAATTAACAAAAGGAGGGAAAGAAGGAAGCATGGGGTCTCTTGTAATAATCCTAGTTAGAGATGATGGGATTGTTTGTTCTGGTAGCAGTGGAAGGAGTAAGAAGGGGAAAGATTCTAAATATATTTTGAAGGAAGAGCAAAGAGGATTTCCTGACTGGATATGAGGGAGTCAAGGATGCCTCCAAAGATGTTGCCATTAAAAATTGGAAGGATACAACGGAATGGGAAAAGATAGTTGCAAATGACATATCAGATAAAGGGTTAATATCCAAAATCTATAAGGAACTCACCAAATTCCACACCCGAAAAACAAACAACCCAGTAAAGAAATGAGCAGAAGATATGAACAGACACTTCTCCAAAGAGGACATCCAGATGGCCAACAGACACATGAAACGATGCTCAGCATCCCTCCTCATCAGGGAAATACAAATCAAAACCACACTGAGATACCACCTCACGCCAGTCAGAGTGGCTAAAATGAGCAAATCAGAGAACTCTAGATGCTGACGAGGATGTGGAGAAACGGGCACCCTCCTACACTCTTGGTGGGAATGTAAACTGGTACAGTCCCTCTGGAAAACTGTGGAGGTTCCTCAGGAAACTAACAGTAGAACTCCTCTATGACCCAGCAATAGCACTGCTAGGAATTTACCCAAGGGATATAGGAATGCTGATGCATAGGAGCATATGTACCCCAATGTTCATAGCAGCACTCTCCACAATAGCCAAAACATGGACAAAAGCCATCAACGGACGAATGGATCAAGAAGATGTGGTTTATCTATACAATGGAATACTGTATGACAGTGAGAAAGAATGAAATCTGGCCATGTGTGGCAACATAGATGGACCTTGAGGGTGTTATGCTGAGCGAAATAAGTCAGGCGGAGAAGGACAGATACCATATGTTTGCAAGTATAGGAGGATTAGAAGGAACTTAACGGAGGACCATGGGGGAGAAGAAGGGGAGAAATGGTGGGGGAGAGGGAGAGGCAAACCATGAGAGACTCTTGAATGCTGAGAACAAACTGAGGACTGATGGGTGTGGTGGGGGGAAGGAGGGAGATGGGCATGGAGGAGGGCACTTGTGGGGATGAGCACTGGGTGTTATATGGAAACCAACTTGACAATAAACTATTTGTAAAAAATAAAAATTTAAAAATGTAAAAAAAATTGGAAGGATAATGGGGTGCCTGGGTAGGTCAGTTGGTTAAGTGTCCAACTTTGGTTCAGGTCACGATCTCATGGCTCGTGGGTTCGAGCCCCATGTTAGGCTCTGTGCTGACAGCTCAGAGCCTGGAGCTTGCTTCAGATTCTGTGTGTGTGTCTCTCTCTCTACCCCTCTCCCACTCATGCTCTGTCTATCTCTCTCTCACAAAAATAAATAAAACATTAAAAAAAACTGGAAGGATCCGGGAAGGAAGCCAGTTTTTCTTTTAAAAGGTAATATGGAAGGCATAAACCTAGAATGTAGTCTGTAGAAGTTGTTTAAAACCTGGATTTGCCAAAGAACTGGCTAAGGAACTTTAAAACAGCAAAATCAAAAACAGATTCACAGGCTCCATTCCTGACAATTTGATTCAGTAGGTCTAGGGTAGACCCTGTAAATGTCTTTTGTCTCCCTCGCACCCCCCCCCTCCCAGGTTACTTTAGTTACTCTCTTGCTACCAGTCAAGGAATAACATTTTATTTGTTGTAGAAGGATGATGGTATGATACCTGATGTTGTCACTGCACAAGTTAGACCTTGAGGTAGCCCATTTTGCTTATTGTATGGCCCTGATGCTAAAGCACTCCCAAAAAGGGTTAATAAAGGATGGAACTGCCAAAAAGAAGTATATTGGATGTCTGAGAGAAAACACAATATGGTTGCATAGCAAGGTGTTTGTACCCTGGATTTAAAGTCATTTATTTGGAACTATCAATATAGTTCATGGATTTAATGATGGCTGGACTTATCCCTGGTGTGGTAAGTAGAAGGTAATCCTCTTCAAAACACCAGTTTATCAAATTACTGCTGTACTACATTTTAATCCAATAATGAGGCTATTGTAAAAGTCAAGAAATCTATCCTAAAATTTCTAAAGATTTCATGTCATTTGTGTGAAGCTATTATGTTATGCTACATAGTAGGCATAATTTCACGGAGGGACTACTTGCAGTCTTTAGAACTTTTTTTAATTGATACTCATAGTAAGAAATATATTTCATATTGTGACCCAGTATGTGGCATATGTAGTTTTATGTGTATATTCATGGATGGATGAATTTTGCAAGGGGAAGAGACTGAAAAAGGGTTTCATGAAATAATATTTGCCCTTATTACATGCAACTTATTCAGATATTTTCCACTGAGTCTAATCTAATGTATTCTGTTTTGATCTATTTCATTTATTAAAGATTGTTAGCGATATTCCATTAAATTGATTTCATGACATGCTAATGGGTCATAATATGAAAAATAATGCTAGAGAAGACTTCTGTAGACACAGCTCTGCCACTATTTCTCTACTTGACCCATGAATTCACTTTTCACTGGAAGGTCTTTTTCTAGCATTAAAATTTCTAGTATTAAAGTTTCATGAGTCTGTTAGTTGTACTGTCTAAATGACATCACCAAACTGCTGAAATTTTAAAATTGGCCAGGAAAATATATTTTCTTTGACCAAAATTTGATCAGGAACTCTCCTTTGCGAACAAAGATGTATAAAACCGTAAGTAGAAAACTAGGCATTTTCTCTTTGTAGTGGAGCTATCTTCATGAAGGCCTTGGGGCCTTGGGTTTTAGAGCATTTCCAGAGCAGATGAAAAAGGGAAGGTAACTGATGCCAATTAAGTACTTTGGCAGTTTTCTTAAGTATAAAAGATGAATTTCTACTCAGGCTTCTCAGATCTAAAAGCTAATGGGAAACATATGTAGCTTTCCAATTTGTGTTTTGTTTTTTGCCCCTCATTAAGTCATACAATATTATATATTGGGATGTTGAAAATAGGAATTTTTCAGAAATGCTTACTGATTTATTTTTAGATAGAGCACCAGTTGGGGAGGCACAGAGAGAGGGAATAAGAGAGAACCCAAGCAGGCTCTGTGCCATCAGTGCAGGGCCCCACATGGAGCTTCAACTCACAAACTATGAGATCTTGACCTGAGCCGAAATCAAGAGTGGGGCACTTAACTGAGCTACCCAAGTGCCCCTGAAAATAGCAATATTAAAAATGTTTATTGATTTATTTTGAGAGAGAGAATGAGTGGGGGGAGGGGCAGAGAGAGAGAGAAACAGAGAATCCCAAGCAGACTCCATGTTGTCAGCACATAGTCCGACGTAGAGCTCAAACTCCTAATCCCCATGAGATTAGGACCTGAGCCAGGATCAAGAGTTGGACACTTAACCGACTGAGCATCCCGGGTGCCCCTGAAAATAGCAATTTTTAATTCTAAAGCTACTACTAGAAAACTTGGAGGCCTTTGGGCTGATTGTGGGGCTGGTGGGTTTTTTTGTAGAAATAATTTATCTAGGCTTTTTCCCATCCCATAAATGATAGCTTTATTTTGCCAGCTTCTCAGAAGAAACTGATAATTTTTGGAAAGATCTAATTCAATATTTACTTCATTTGAACCATAACAAGAAACAGAATTTTAAATAAGCAAAGAAAATGATGAATTTCATTAATTATAACTGAGGACTCATTTTCTCCCTCATTCAAAAAGCTTTTAAGCTTTGACAAATTTTAAGAATTTATTCATCTGTTAGGAATTCTCTGCATTTTAATATAACTTTGGCTCTGTTAGTAGTGTCTAAACAGAGTGCAAACATATTTTGAGAGACTTAACGTGGATTTAACTCCGTTTTCAGTTACTATCCTTTCAGTGACTATCCTTAATGTTATGTTAAGAGATGATACTGAAAAATTCTTCCTCAAAACTTTATGAGTAATCAGTTTTCAAGGGAAAAATTTCAGGTAACATTTTTTGAAGTTTGATAGGAATGAATATTAGAGGAAAGCCTCCTCTAGAGCATTTTGCTCCATGGAAAACATGAAGTTTTTGTTGTTTAAATATATATTTTCTTGGCACAAGCAAACAAGTGAAAGTTAGAAAGCACAGTGTATGCTTGAGGAACGGGAGTCTCGGGGCTGGATTTGCAATAGAACATGTGATGATAATTATTCTCCAGGAGCATTGCCTTCACTCCTGGTAGATCATATTTGCAAGATAGCCGGGAAAGATTAAGCCAGTAAATTGTCTCCCTTAGTTCTAATTGAGTCAGACTTCACTGGAGCCATGCTTTATTGAGATGAAGCAGACAAGTGTGTGTAATTCACAAATTGAATAAATGTGCACCAAATGCCATATACTTATGACTATTTATGGCATATCTTCATTATAAATTATATTTCCTTATGTTTCTAAATATTTTTGTTAGCAAACACTTGCCTTGAAAGTTACATGTGTATATTGTCAACATAAAGTTTGGATTTCATATTGATAAATTTTTAAATGGAAAAGCAATGTCTTTTCTTCTGTATAGACACAGGGAACATGGAGCTGCTCTACTTATATGGAAGCGAAAAGCAGAAGCAGCAGTGGCTTGAGCCTCTTCTTCAAGGAACCATCGCATCCTGCTTCTGTATGACAGGTGAAAGCAAATCACATTTCTCCTCTGTGCAGTCAGTTATTGGAATTATTATGGATGAGCTAAAGAAAGGAGGTAGCTCTGTGTTTCAGGCAAATTTGCCCATGACTAGAAATGTAAATATGATTGTTTTGAGTGCGGTTTCAAATTTTTGCATTTTTAAATGTGTGGAATAAAATTGTCCTCCCATGTGGGAGGATACCAGCTGATGTTTTCAGGCAGTCTACTTCAGCCAGAGTAAACCTAAATAACTTCATAATCTTTGGACTAGCATTTCAAAAATTGTTGTCTATGGTTATTTAATATTTTTTTGCCCTTATGTATGAAATAGTCATCTTTGTGATAATTTTATATTGATACAAAATATTTAACTCTGTCATAAACCTCGAAAAATAGAACATTCACCAATGCTGGTCACATTGTTCAGATTATGTTCATGTGAGGAAGTAAAATTAGCATGTTAATAAAAATGGGTTTGGTACCATTTGTACATAAGAAACAGCAATAACGTATTCTTCAAAGGAAAAAGTCATCATTCTATAGTTGAGTTTAGAATAAAACTAAATGTCATCTGGCCAGAATTATGGCCAGATTTTATTTTATTTTATTTTTACATAGTTTATGTCAAGTTGGTTTACATATAACACCCAGTGCTTATCCCAACAAGTGCCCTCCTCCATGCCCATCACCCCCCTTCCCCTCTCCTCCACCCCCATAAGTTCCCAGTTTGTTTTCAGCATTAAGAGTCTCTCATGGTTGCCTCCCTCCCTCTCCCCAACTATTTTTCCCCTTCTCCTCCCCCATTGCCCTCCATTAAATTCCTCCTAATCCACCTATATGTGAAAATATATGGTATTTGTCCTTCTCTGCCTGACTTATTTCACTCAGCATAACACCCTCGAGTTCCATCCATGCTGCTACACATGGCCAGATTTCATTCTTTCTCATTGCCATGTAGTATTCCATCGTATAGGTAAACCACATCTTCTTAATCCATTCGTCCATTGATGGACACTTAAGCTCTTTCCATGATTTGGCTGTTGTTGAGAGTGCTGCTATGAACATTGGGGTATATGTGCCCCTATGCATCAGCACCCCTGTATCCTTTGGGTAAATTCCTACCAGTGCTACTGCTGGGTCATAGGGGAGTTCTATTGTTAATTTTTTTAGGAACCTCCACACTGTGTTCCAGAGTGGCTGCATCTGTTTACATTCCCACCAACAGTATAGGAGGGTGCCCGTTTCCTCACATCCTCGCCAGCATTTATAGTCTCCTGATTTGTTCATTTTAGCAACTGTGACCAGCATGAGGTGGTATCTCAGTGTGGTTTTGATCTGCATTTCCCTGATAATGAGGGACGCTGTGCATTGTTTCATGTGGCCAGATTTTAAAGTCTTCTATAGGGGCGCCTGGGTGGCTCAGTTGGTTAAGTGGCTGACTTCAGCTCAGGTCATGATCTCATGATTCATGGGTTCAAGCCTCGTGTCAGGCTCTGTGCTGACAGTTCAAAGCCTGAGGCCTGCTTCGGATTCTGTGTCTCCCTCTCTCTCCGCCCCTCCCCTGCTTGTACTCTCTCTCTCAAAAATAAACATTAAAAAAAATAAAATAAAGTCTTCTGTAATATTGCATATACATATATATAAGAGCAAAACTGATCTCCGTTTAAAATCAGTAGGAGGCATTTATTGAATACCTATATATGATGTGTTGTCTACAAAGCACTAATTGGAGGTTGCAAAACAATTACACAGCTCCATCTAAAGGAACTGGGTCTCTAGTTTTAGAAATAGAATACAGAAAATAATCTGAAGGAGTCATTTAAGAAAGCAGCATATTAACAAGTGCAGATTACTATGATTGAGGCCTGCCTTTATGTTGTGAAATGCCATATAATAAAGCAGTTGTGTGAGGGTGTCCCATGGAAAACTTTTGGAAGACACTGTATTCAGCAGGCTTTACAGAATGCAGAATAAATCAGTGAGATGGAATTCTCAAGGCATAGTTAGAAATTGTCTAAGATAGTAAACTACATGGAAATCTGGCTTGCAAATATTTAGTATTTAGTATATTTCCACTATGGGAAATAAAGAACAATATTTTAATCTACTTTTGATGATTGAAGAATGGATTGTGTGAGTTATATCAAATTATGTACCAGTTGAGGAAGCCAGGAATACAATTCAGATTACTGATCCCAATGTTTGATATTCATTCTTCCAGTGCACACTTTTGGAAAATGTACTATGTGTAGGTTATGGGAGAACCAGGGTGGGATAGACGGAAGGGTAGGAACATGCCTCTGTCCTCAAAGGGTTCACATTTCCTTATCCAAAGTCTCTTTTGTAAACAAATTATGTCTGCCTGCCCGTAAATTCAATCTTTGCTTATTTATAGAGCCTGATGTAGCTTCAAGTGATGCCACAAACATTGAATGTAGCATCCAACGAGATGGAGATAGCTATGTAATCAATGGCAAGAAATGGTGGAGCAGTGGTGAGTATTCAGATCCATCCTTTGTGCCAGGTGCTGTGCTAGAATAACACATAGTTTCATGATCATAGTTCCTTAAATTCTGCCTTTAATAGCATATTCAAATTTAGAAATATTTGCTAAAGAAAAGTAATTTTAAGATAACAGATCTTGATTAAGTCATATTTATTTTAAAAACAGAAAACTTTTTTTTATGGTTTCACAATTCACAGTTTTTCAGAGTTTGTGAGAGGAAATTCATGTTAGTGCACACTATTCTTGATCATGGTTCTTGATCATGGTAACTTCTATCAAAATTAATTTTTAATAGGAACATATTAAATGAAATATAATTTGTAAATAATTGTAAAGAGATTTACTTGTTATTAGAAGTCATTTATTTTATCACATTTCCTTATTGCTTAAAAATACAAGTGCTTAAAGCAAAAATATAAGAATCTATACATGACAAAATGTATTGTTTAGTCAACCCTCAGTAATAGACTTACATAAATGGGTGAGTCCTTTAGGAAGTCATAAAATTGGAACCTACGTAAATATGATTATCTAAAGATTGCTTCTAGAGTAAATCTAACAAGATAACCAGTTTATTATTAAAGAAAGTTGACATCATGAAAGCAAATTATGTGTTCAGAAATTTACCAGGGATAAAAAGAAAAAAACAAAAAGCAAAGAAATTTACTAGGGATGTGTTAAAAGGGCCATTAAAGCTTTTTATGTATCTTTTTATTGTTAAATTGTTATTCTTCCCTGGGGTCTTATGAAATCACTTGCAAATTAAGAAGCAGGAAAAAAGGATTAAATTTTGCTGTATAGTTATTCAAGTACTGAAATTATGCAGTGAAATCATTCTTATATTAAACGTTGATCATTTAAAATAATTATAAATCCTCCTTAATATAAGCCTCTATATTAATGTTTCAGATGGCCAAATTTATAGCATAGTGTTTTTATTATTTATATCTGTTAATACTGTTTTCCTATATTGTTAACGTTAAGTTCATGTTTTGTGCACTTGTGATTTCATTTCCTCTTCTTCCTGGTTGCTATATTCTCCCCTCCCCCCCTCCCCCCTACGTTTTGATTGTTATACGTTGGCACCACCAGTGTTTACCATTTAACTTTCAGAATAAAGCAGATGTTTTCTCTGGGGAGAAGCATCATTCATGCGAATCGAAGCAAGAGACAGCAGTTTTACATTTAAATGCTAAAAGTACTGGTTGGCTCTGTAGGATCTTCCGAATCAAAAGGAATCTCATCCACATTTTGTCTTTGTCTTCTCCAGGACCCATATTTCTTGGCAACTTTCATAATGTAGTTTTTAAAAGAGGCTCCCATGAAAACATACAGGACTGGGTTGAGGCAGCTGTGAAAGAGTGCAATGCTCTCTGTGATTTGAATGGCAACATCCATGCGTTTGCTCATGTCACAGTCAGTGATCAGGGAGTAGATGATGTCTATGACTTGGCAGAACCTGACAATGTTATAAGGCAGCTGAGTGACAATAAAAACTATAACCACCGTGAGCAGAACTTTGAGGGGTCGAGATTTTTTAATGTTGGGCATCCTGATGAGTGTCCTTGCTGTGACAAAGTAGCACACTCCCATAATAAGAAAGGGTATTACAAATCCAATGCAGATTTCCAGCATTTGAATCGATGCTTTCACTGATGTTCCTATGTGATATGGAAAGATGGGAATGCACCTAGCCTTGTGATTGACTGTATAAAAAACCAGCTGAGGTATACTCAGCAAGATGGCAACCACCCATACACAGAAACAGATAAGCCAGCATGGTTTCCCCACTCCTGATTGACGTGGGGCTTTCGTTACTGCCCAGTATCTGTCTATGCTGATACAAGCCAGAAACTGCATTCCAGAGACGAAATTGACAGTGTACAAGGCTGAAGTGACCTTGCACATGATTCTCCCTAAAACCCATCCATGAACTGCATTAACTGCCCAGAAAGGCAGAGTGAGTAGAAGGAGTAAATCTGCCACCGCCAAATTCAGGATGTACACATCTGTTTTGGTTCTCTGCTTCTTGTAATAGGCATAAATCGCCACTACTATGGAATTGCCTGCAATTCCAATGATGAAAGCTATTGTGAAGAAGGCAGGCAGGAAAATTTTTGCAAATTTTCTGACTTCTTCTTTTATACAGATCACTTCATACTGACTGTAGTCATGAGTGCCATTCACTTCATTTTCCTCATAATAGTAATCTGTTGACTGATTGTGTTCCAATGCCATGGCTCCAATCTAAATGTCAGAAGGAATACAGAATATTCATTTTAATATTGTTTAAAAGGAAACAATTTTGAATCTAGCGTTTATTATTTTACTCAATAATAGATTATTGGAGTGCGGGGGTGGTTCAGTCAGTTAAGCATCTGACTCTTGATTTCGGCTCAAGTTATGATCTCACAGGCACAGTAGTCAGGCTCCATGCTGAGTGTGGAACCTGCTTGGGATTCTCTCTCTGCCTCTCCCCACTTATGCATACACACACACTCTCTCTCTCTCTCTCTCAAAAATAAACAAATATTTTTAAAAAAACCAAAAACTAGAGAATAGACTGTTGCCGTAACATAGACGAGGCTGATTCTGCCACTCTTTGAGATTTGAAACCTTTTAATGGAAACGATTTAGGAGTATATCCCCAAGATTATTTTTTTCATCCTTTGTTTTTACAAGTCTGTGTGTAAGAGCTGGGATTTACACAGAGCTCTTGAAATGAAAGATAAAATTAATACCCTGACGACTTGTCTTAATCATTAGACCCTAAATCAAAGTAATGATTTTGTGTAAAAACTGGGTTTTTTTTAAGGTTTTTTAAGTAATCTCTTCCCCCAATGTGGGGCTTGAACCCACAACCCCAAGATATCCTTTACCAACTGAACCAGTCAGGTACCCCCAAAATAGTTTTTAACATGTGAAAAATTAGTCAGATTTCAACAAAAAGGAGTGACAAATGTTACTATTTTTTACAGATGCAACTTTGTGATTCTTATGCAGTATATTGGCAGTAGATCAAATTGTTCATCTAAACTAAAATTATTTTGGGGGCACCTGGGTAGCTCAGTTGGTTAAGCCTCCAACTTTGGCTCAGGTCATGATCTCACAGTTTGAGTTCAAGCCCCACATCAGGCTCTCTGCTGACAACTTAGAGCCCACTTGGGATCCTCTGTTCCTCTCTCTCTCTGCCTCTTCCCCACTCACGCATTCACACGCACTCTCAAAAATAAACGTTAAAGAAAACTTAAACATTGGGGTGCCTGGGTGGCTCAGTCTGTTAAGCGTCCAACTTCAGCTACAATGATCTCACAGTTCATGGCTTCAACCCTGCATCGGGCTCTGTGCTGACAGCTCAGAGCCTGGAACCTACTTCAGATTCTGTCTCCCTCTCTCTCTCTGACCCTCCCCACTCATGCTTTCTCTGTCTGTCTTCTATCTGTCTGTCTCTCTCAAAAATAAACACTTAAAAAAAATTTTAAAGACATAGAACATTGTTAAAAAAATTAAACATTAAAAAATAAATTATTTTACTTTTATATATAAACTTATTATAAAAGAAGATAAATTACCTCAGAATTTATACTTAATTTCACTAGTTGGCCTTTATAAAACAAAAGCCTCTCCTCTATTTAGCTCTCCTTCAAAACCTGTCACACATGCTGAATGTATGCTACCATTCAGTAGCTTCATTCCACCACTTACCTAAGCCTTAGGCCTGTCCCATCCTTGGTCAGGGACATCTCTCACCATCGTCCCCAATTCCTGTCAGCCCCTAAATTTTGATTTTACCTTCCAAATAGATTGTGAATCTCTCTCCCCCTTTAATCTGTCCTCTTTGTCACATCTATACAATTCGACCAACCTGTTTCTTACTTGGCTTATTGCAATATCTTCCCACCTGGTATCTGCTGTTCTTATTCCTCCTTACCACCTCCTATCAGAAATATTTTTCAGGGGTGCCTAGGTGGCTTAGTAGGTTAAGCGTCCAACTCTTGATTTCGGTTCAGGTCATGATATCACAGTTCATGGGTTCAAGCCCCATGTCAGGCTCCGCACTGACAGACAGAGTATGCTTGGGATTCTCTCTCTACCCCACTTTTTCTCTACCCCTTCCCTGCTTATGCACATACACATATTCTCTCTCTCGGGAATAAATTTTAAAAAATGTTTTTTTCTTACTGCTACCAGAGTTCTGTATCTCTGAAATGTCAATCTGTCACTCCTCTGCTTAGCTCTTACCTAAAAGACACATTTCTTCACCTGAAAGATATAATCCAGACTCCTTAGCTTGATGCCCAAGCTAAGGAGTGGTCCTACCCATGGTTCCTGCTACATTTCTCTACTATGTAGACACTAATAGTACTCATTTGCAAGCACTTTGCTGGCATACACCATGCTGCGGCGCATATCTACATCATTACTCATTCTGTTCCTTTATCTCACAGACTGTTTCCTGCTCTTCCCTTAAAGGGCCACTTCTCCTCAGTTAACCTGGATATTACCTTGCCAGAAGACTTTCCTGATCCAATAGCTATGTCTACATACATACATACCTGCATTCATTCTCAGAGAATGGACCCCATCTTATGGAAAAGATGGCTTTTCTAGACTACCTTTTCCCTCTGTGATCTAAGTTCCCTGTTGGGTTTATGTTTGTAATTAATACCTTGGAGAGGGCCTGGCATACACTAGGTGCTCAGTAAATGTTTGTCAAACTAAAAGTTTTACAAGTAGATAGAAAACTATTTCTCTAGAATGGGTAGATGATATGCCAGGAATCTTCTTGTCTTATCATTAGCAATTTTACTATATTGGTTATTAACACCCTATAGAAGTAAGATAGGCTTGCACACAATTCACAAGTTTTTAAATGTATATAAAAATGACTCTCAACGTTTTCATTATAATGTTGAGTTTTGTGTTGCTTTTTTCTTACCCTTTCTGTCTCCCTTTGATTGTTTTTGTCCTTGGAAGAATTTCTAACATTCTTATGGAATCATTAATGAAAATACTATTTTCAGAACAGTGTGCCAACTTGTACATTTTCAAAAGAATGTTCTTATTCTTACTAACCCTTTTTGGATTAGTAAAGCAAAGAATGCCCCTGAGGAGATATGCCACATAGAACAGCCTTCATTATGTAAAAACCAGGCGGTAACAATCTAAAGTGACTATTTTTATCCTTAAGATTATTTGAAAAGTTACAATATGGAAGACCATTCTGGTCATCATTTTCCTATGTGTTAATTATTAACACAGGATGCACTTTGTTCTTTCTTTCTCATTCATCACAAATCTTAAGCTTGGTGATAAGGAATAACATGCCCAAATAATACAAAACATTAAGGAAATGTATTTTTAAATAAGAATCTTACTAAAAATATGAGTAAGTAAAGCAAGGAATGGAAATTATTTGCAGACATGATCCTTTGGCAGATATATAGAAATACATTTTAGATGTCTTTATAATTATTACAAGAACAAAAAAGTTAGCATTTGTAAAACAAAGCAGAAAAACTGATAGAGCACAACTTATTCTCTCATTAACAAAGTTGTATAGGCAAATAATGGTATTAAAATAATACCAGAAATAAAATATTTTCTTCTTGCTATATTCACATTTAAGTTATAAGATTAAAGTGTATAGCTATTTTTAAATAGCTCTTTTTTGCACATATATAAATGTTTAGACTTTTATGCATCAAGGCTCCCTCTACATAGGTAAATGTACAAAGTCTTTGGGCTTTAAAAAACAATCATCCAAGTTAGAATGAGAAAAAGAAAAAACCAACCTGTTTCAGTGCGCAGAGAGGAGCAGTCTTGAGTGAAGACTAAAATCAAATGACCTCTTTAACTCAAGCTACTTTTGTTTTCGTTTTACACCCCGCCTTTGTCTTGCATCCAAGAGAGCTTTCCTGAAATTTAACCTTGTGAGCACTTGATCTTTTACTTTTTGTAGAACCATCCTAGAAGTCAAATCCAAGTTCTTAAGTGTCCTAGGATACAAACTTGAAAGCATTCCATCTTGTTCAAAAAACTACATATCTTTCAAAGTTTCCACTTAGATGAAGCAAACAAGAAAGTGTCTGCAGCTGAGGAACCAGTCACCAAACTGAAAGAATTCACCCTGAGAGTCAAGGCAGCTAATGGGCACTCACAGGTAGCATCTAGGGAAATAACTCATGAAAGTTATTTTGTCTAGAAAAGAAAAGAACAATGACTTTTACCTCAGAAAGTTATCTCTTTGAAGACTAAATTATTGCAGACTAAATTCTGAGTAACAATTAAGCATTTATAGAACTTAATATTTTTTATGCCACATCATTTAATATTTTACTTAAACTATTAAACTGCTCTTGGCTTCGCTATATTTCTTCTCTGTCCTTGACCCCAGAATAAGCCTTTCCCCGTGACTTTAAACTCTCTTGCTTTCTTGTAACCTTTTTCCTCAAAGACCAGCACACAAACCTTCAAAATCCTTTTGTTTGGGGACATTGTTTTTCCCATGCTAACAAATGAAAATTAGAGGAAAAATGCATGCAGATTCAGCCTCGGGTCTATTTTAACTCGATTCTCTTTACATTTGCATTTATAATTCCCTTTATTTCCTTTCTCCTGCATGACCAGGTAGGCTCAGTCTCTACCTGCAGAAGTCCTTTCAAAGGAATGTCAATTTTTCTCCAAGCAGTTGATCAAAGTTTCTTGTTAATTCACAGAAAAGAGGCTCTCAGTCACTGGGCCTTCGTCTTCCTTCATCTTTCCACGGTGTAAGTCTGAGAGTACTGCCAGCTTCTCCTTGTAATCCACCACTCTTTGAAGGAAGAGTTACTTGCATGCAGCTAAACCACCTCACACACACACACACACACACACACACACACACACAGCCTGGATTTGTGGTGTTTGTCATTTTCCAGTGTGTGAATACTCTCACCCTGGCCAATTTTAAGGTGTCAGTGTGAAGTTACTGAAGGCAAGGTTGCTAAGAGAGGAGCATTAATTATAAGCTCTCCTGAACAGGCTCTAGCACACTTATTCGGAAAGTGGCATCTCTTCTTACCATGGCTGATCATTAGTCTCTTGCTGCCTTCTGACAGATACTGCACTTAATGTTATCCCTGCCTATCTAGACACTCTGGTTTTTCTCCTTCTCTTACTTTTTTTTTTTTTTTTTTTTTTTGGTACAAATGTAAATATTTAAAATGAGAGCTGCAGGGCGCCTGCATGGCTTAGTTGGTTAAGTGTGTAACTTCAGCTCAGGTCATGATCTCGTTCATGAGTTTGAGCCCAGAATCATCTCTGCTGTTAGCACAGAGCCCGCTTCAGATCCTCTGTCACCTAGTCTCTACCCCTCTCCCATTTGTGCTCTCTTTCAAAAATAAACATTAAAAAGAATTTTTTAACAAGAAATACATCACAACAAGCTATAAAACTTAAAGAAGCCAACAAACACCAAAACTTCAAGAAAAATCCTCAAGAAAACACTATAAGGCACCTGATGGCTCAGTTAAGTGTCTGACTTCAGCTTAGATTATATCTCACAGTTCGTGAGTTCCAGTCCTGTGTTGGGCTCTCTGCTGTCAGCATGGAGACTGCTTCAGATCATCTGTCTCTCTCCTCCCTCCCTCCCTCTCTCTCTCAAAAATAAAGTAAGCATAAAAAAAAATGTTTTAATAAACTGCCTGACACGTCTCAATAATACTATTTTTCCAACATTTTTCAGCTGCACATCCTTTTCTTCCAACTTTAGATATAGTTGACAATTAAAAATTGTTCATATTTAAGGTGTACAAGTTGATAATTTGATACATGTATACATTGCAAAATATTCACCCCAATCAAGGAAATTAACATTATTTATTACCTCACAGGGTTACTTTTTGAGGGAGGATGGGTAAGAAACTTAAGATCTACCCTCTTAGCAAATTTCAAGTATACGATATAATATTGTTAACTGTAGTTACATGACTGTACCTTTGATGTCCAGAATTCATCCATATCATATCTTGCATTATTGAAACTTGGTGCCCCTTGAACCATATTTTCCCATATGCCCCTAGTTGCATACCCTTTGATCACTTCTTCAATTTTGTAATTTTGTAATCTATTTTTCATGAGAAGAATCGAAATGTACTTCACAGGCAGGTGAACTTGCTATTTGTGATACTACTACAGGTTTTTGTCCTCATGAACATAACATTCATATCCATTCTATTTCACGTGATTTCTTCCAAAAATGTATGGTGTATTTTATTTTTTTTCCTGTAAAGTTAATAGTGTTATATTAGTTTCAGGTGTACAGTATAGTGATTTATCAATTCCATACATCACCTGGTGCTTCTAACAATTGCACCTTAATCCCCACCACCTATTTCACCCAACCGTTCCATCTCCCCTCTAGTAACCATCCCTTTGTTCTCTATAATTAAGATTCTCTTCCTTCCTTCCTTTCGTTCTTTCTTTCTTTTTTCTTTCATTAACATACAGTATAGTCGTGGCTTTAAGAGTAGAATCCAGTGATTCATCACTTACATATAACACCTAGTGCTCATCCCAACAAGTGACCTCCTTAATGCCAATCACCCATTTCCCCCACCCCCTCACCCCCATCACCCCTCAGTTCTCTGTATTTAAGAACCTCTTATGATTTGCCTCCTTCTCTGTTTTTATCTTATTTTTCCTTCCCTTTCCCTATGATCATCTGTTAAGTTTCTCAAATTCCACATATGAATGAAATCATATGATATCTGTTTTTCTCTGACTTAGTTCACCTAGCATAATACCCTCTAGTTCCATTCATGTTGTTGTAAATGGCAAGATTTCATTCTTTTTCATTGCTAAGTAGTAGTCCATTCTAACTATATACCACATCTTCTTAATGCATTCATCAGTTGATGGACATTTGGGCTCTTTCCATAATTTAGCTATTGTTGTAAGCACTGCTATAAACATTGGGGTGCATGTGCCCCTTCTCCTGTATTTAACTCCTGTATTTAACTCCTGTTGGATAAATTCCTAGTAGTGCAATTGCTGGGTTGTAGGGTAGTTCTATTTTTATCTTTTATTTTATTTATTTACTTTTAATGTTTATTTTTGAGAGAAAGGGAGAGACAGTGTGAGTGGGAAAGGGGCTAAGAAAGAGGGAGGCACAGAATCCGAAGCAGGCTCCAGGCTCTGAGCTATCAGCACAGAGCCCAATGCAGGGTTCTAACCCACGAACCACAAGATCATGGCCCAAGCTGAAATCAGTCACTTAACCTATTGAGCCACCCAGGCGCCCCAGGATAATTCTGTTTTTAATTTTTTGAGAAACTTCCATAGTGTTTTCCAGAGTGGCTGCACTAGTTTGCATTCCCACAAACATAAGATTCTGTTTCTTGATTTGCATTTCCCTCTGTTTTTTTCTCTTTGCTCACTTGTTTAGTTTCTTTTTTAATTATTATTTAAAGTTTATTTATCTTGAGAGAGAGAGAGTGAGTGTGCAAGAGGAGAGGGTCAGAGAGACAGGGAGACAGAGAATCCCAAGCAGGCTCCACACTGTGAGTACAGAACCCCAGGTGGGGCTCGAACTCTCAAACTATGAGATCATGACCTGAGTCAAGATCAAGAGTTGGATACTTAACCAACTCATCCACCCAAGTGCCCCTCATTTTTTTTTAATTTCATAAATGCCACATTTGAGTGAAATCATGTTTGTCTTTTTCCAAATTATTTATTTCACTTACTTTTATACTTTTGGGCTCCATCCATGTTGCAAATGGCAAGATTTCATTCTTTTTATGGCTGAATAATATTCCATTGTATACATATATATGACTTATTTATCCATTCATCAATCAATGGATACTTGGGCTGCTTCTGTATCTTTGTTATTGTAAATAATGCTGCTATAAACATATGGGTACATGTATCCCTTTGAATTAGTGATTTTGTATTCTTTGGGTAAATATCCAGACGTACACTTGCTGGACTGTACGGTAGTTCTATTTTTAACTTTTTGAGAACATCCATACTCTTTTCCACAGCAACTCCACCAGTTCACATTTCTATCAACAGTGTAAGAGGGTTCCTTTTTCTCCACATCCTCACCAGCACCTGTTGTTTCTTGTGGTGTTTTTAGTTATTGACAGGTGTGAGGTGATATCTCATTGTAGTTTTGATTTGCATTTCCCAGATGGTAAGTGATGACAAACATCTTTTCATGTGTCTGTTGGCCATCTCTATGTCTACTCTGAAGAAATTTCTGTTCAAGTCTTCTGCCCATTTTTAATCGGATTATTTATTTTTTGGATGTGTTGAGATTTCTTATTTTGTTTTTTAAGTAGGCTCCATACCCAACACACAGCCCAATGTGGAGCTTAAACTCACAGTTCTAAGACCAAGACCTAAGCTGAGATCAGGAGTTGGACTCTCAACCAACTGAGCCACCCAGGTGCCTGGGTGTTGAGTTTTATTAGTTTTTTTTTTAATAGATTTTGGATATTAACAATTTTTTTTTAATGTTTTTTATTTATTTCTAGGAGAGAGAGAGACAACGTGAGCAGGGGAGGGTCAGAGAGAGAGAAGGAGATACAGACTCTGAAACAGGCTCCAGGCTCTGCGCTGGCAGTCAGCACAGAGCCCGACGTGGGGCTCGAACCCATGAACTGCGAGATCATGACCTAAGCAAAAGTCGGACGCTTAACCGACTAAGCCACCCAGGCGCCCCTAACCTTTTATCAGATATATAATTTGCAAATATCTTCACCTGTTCCGTAGGTTGCCTTTTAGTTTTATTGTTTCCTTCACTGTGCAAAAGCTTTTTAGTTTGATTTAGACCCAGGATTTCATATTTGATTTTTATTTTCCTTGCCTCAGGAGACATCTAGAAAGAAGTTGGTATGGTCAAAGTCAAAGAAGTTACTGCATGTGTTCTTTTCTAGGATTTTGATAATTTCGGGTCTTACATTTTAGGTCTTTCATCCAATTTGAATTTATTTTTCTGTATAAGAAAGTAGTCCAGTTTCATTCTTTTGCATACAGCTTCTTCTTCAGGTGAGCCTATATTGCTATCAACTTACCTCCTTTTGCTGCATCCCAAAGGTTTTGGACTCTTGTGGTTTCATTTTTCTTTGTTTCAGTGTCCTTTTTAATTTCTTCTTTGATTTCTTGGCTGCTACATTCATTGTTTACTAGCATGTTATTTAACCTCCATGTATTTGTGGTCTTCCCAGATTTCTTTTCTTGTGTTTGACTTTTAGTTTCATAGTGTTATGGTCCAGAAAGATGCATGGTATGACTATGATGCTTTTTAATTTGTCAAGGCCTATTTTGTGGCCTAATATGTGATCTGTTCTGGAGAATGTTCCATGTATACTTGAAAAGAATGTGTATTCTGTTGTTTTAGGATGGAATGTCCACCTGGTCCAGTGTATCATTCAGAGCCACTGTTTCCTTTTTATTTTCTGTTCAGATGATCTGTCCATTGATGCAGTTGGAGTGTTAAAGTCCCCTACTGTTAATGTATTACTATCCGTTCCTTTATGTTATTAACTGTTTTATCTATTTGGGTGTTTCATGTTGGGAGCATATATATTTACAATTATTATATCCTGTTGGATTGTCTCCTTTAGTATTTTATACTGTCCTTTGCCTTCTTCTTTTTACAGCTTTGTTTTAAACTCTTATTTTGTTTCCTATAAGTATTGCTACTCCAGCTTTCTTTTGACCTCCATTTGCATGATAAATGTTCCTCTGTCCCCTCACTCTTAATGTGCGAGCGTCTTTACAGCTGAAACAAGTCTCTTCTAG